ACAAGTCATTTCTTTCGCTAGACTCACATATTTGTTTTTGTTGTATTTTCCCAGAATGTCCTGCGTTATAGTCCTCTTCTTGCTTTTGGAACAGTCTCCGGTTTGTTTGCATCCACATGTGCATTTGGACCACGGCAGAGTTCACTTTAATCGAATTAAAGTGAACTTTATTGGCGGACCAAAGTTCACTTTTTCGATCCACATCAGAGTTCAATTACACATTTACACCTTCACAAATGGACCAGACTTTCTAGGCAAAAGGACTGAAATTGGATTAAAGTGGACTAAAGAGAGCTGGTGTGAATTCAGCCTCTGTGTCCCATTTTGTTTCTGTTTGAGTGTACATCCTGTTACCTCTTTTTGCAGCTGTGTTATATTATTAGCAGTGATGCCATGTGTTCAGTACAGGTACTGCAGTCAGTGTAATTCACAGATGTAAACGATAACAGTCATGCCATGGTTACACTCATAGTTAGTTCTCTATATAAACATTGTGGCGTCATTATAAGCATCATTTAATAAACTGCAGGGCCTTGTTTCAGAAAGCAGGACAAGTGAAAATCCTGAGTAAGTTCTGGGGTAACTATGTGCATACCCTGGGTTTTTGGTTTCAGAAAGCCAAATAGCCATTATCCTCAGTCAACTTACTACCACCACCTACTCTGTGAACCAACCCTGCTTGCATTGGTAGCAGGGATGTTGGTGCAAATCTTTAGTTTGTCCTACTTTTTAGCTGAGCCTTGGCACAAGGAAATTGTCAGAAATGGTGTGTGCTTTTCTGGAGGAGCCTGTAGATGTTGGAGAGTAAATACTCTGCAGAAATCTCCATCAACAGACGGTGACCACACAGCGATTAGATGTGTTATCATTCCCAGACTAATATATTGTTGTTTTTTGCCAGTCAATTTATCTGTATGAGATTTCAACCTGTACATCAACACAACAAGGACGTTCTTTCTGCTGCACTCTGTTTTAATACCAACATGATGCTGTCACAAATGTTACTGTAGCTGTTAATCTATAGCAGAGGTGCCTATGAGGTGGATGTGAATTTATTACTCACATGATTGTACTGAGATTCTCCTTAACACAGTGGTGTGTGTTACTGCTTGTCTTTTTGATTTTGTGATGGTGTTGCTACAGTTTTGGATGCAAGAAAACAGAGAAACGCATTAAGCACGCTACCACAACAACATTTAACTGGAGACTAGAACATAGTTGAATTTGGTCTTGTGTCATTCCAAGATCTGAGTCAAAGGAACATTGCAGGGGGAATAATTTACGCACATTTTCTCAGCTTTGTTCACAGAGCTTCATGTTGCAGCACATCTTCACGCAGAGCATATACGACGGAGTCAAGAACAGATCCGGTGTCTGACTTGTAGAGCTTGCATTTAAACGGTCTTAACCTCCTTTCTGTAAGAGGTTAATCAGAGAAATAGTTAAATTCCAATCCCAGGATGGGCTCTCAGTGTGACATCCCATTGTCTCTGTACAGTAGAACTCCCATCACAGCCTTAACTTAAACCTCCAACCATTTAAATGGTAATCTGTTCAGGGCTTTAGAAGACCTCTAGTCCTCATGCATTATCTGGGAGGGTCTTTATGTGATATGCCCCACAAACCTTCAATTCACCCCCTCCACATCCTTCTAATTAGCTTTAGTACATCAGCCCTTCAGCCTGCTATGAAAACCTCTTTTCTCTGGCAGGCTTAGCTCTGGGTTCAGCTGCATGCCTCTGGTGGACTGTCTTTCTCAAGAATACACATCCATGGAAAGAAGGGCTTACTGGTGCTCATTTCAATAATAAAGATAATGTCATTTTGATGTGTTTATTGTTAAAACACTGCACCCTTTGCTTAGCTTGATCAACTTTTATGGAGGGGGAGGGGAGTGGTACTGCAGTCAAAATGTCAGGAATCTTGAGAAGCAAACAGCAGCATCTCTCTCCTTGTGTGTTTTGGATTTCTCAACTGTTTCATCCACACACACAAGGTTCACAGGTCAAATTCCTGACCATGATGACAGTTGCTAAAATACCATGTATGCAATTTAAATATAAGGAGCAGTAAGGAGTTAAAAAGCCTCAATATCATTGACTTAAGAAGCTATTGTTTCAGTGTGCATTACAGATACTTTTCCTCATTTATATTTTGTGGGTATAAGTGCGCCTTTCAAAATCTCATCTGGACAGTCTTGGATAGACTTCATACAAGATCCACGGGCAGGAAATGGTTAATGCACAAACATATTAAACATAATCAAATTAATTTAATTTCAAGCAGAAAACATCAAGCCTTCTGACTTCTATTAAAATAATTTTAGTAATAACAATTTACATTAACAAGTCAGTATAATTGTTATAGTAATGTTATCTGTAAAAATTTGATTTTGATACATGAACTTCAGCAAGAATCTAAAATACTTAAAGTTGAGGTATTATGTAAAGTCAACTTTTTTGAGCATAATGTAATGGTATAATGATAGTCCCTCATCAATTTCGTTACAACTGTAACAAAATTGTGCCAATAAATTATGAGACAATTTTAATCTGTGATAAAATTGAGCTCCTCCACCTCCTCTCAGTGCTGTCAGGCAACATTGTGTACTAATGGCAGAGAAGCAACTGCCATGCTAGCTAGCCTTAGCATTCATGACTGCTGACGGGGAGAACTCTTCAGTATGCTTTTAATTCTCTTTGCTCTGACAGGCTTTAAATGAATAGTTATTTTTCCACAGAATATTTTCCTGTTTTGAATACCCTTTACAGAGTTAACATTTTAAGTATAATAAGCTAACATTAGCTAGTCAGTTGGACTGTCTGCTTTATGAACATGCTACTCGTAGCTTCACAACTGTAGCTTCTACGTAGCACCAACTTTGTAGGAGAGTGGTGGGTGATGCTCCTTAATTTCCATGCCGACTGTCTTTTTATCTCTGTAGCGACCAAAAATAGAATCCTTATTTTGGCCAGCTTATCAGTGGTGTACAGGAACAGACTTTTATTATTAATCTGTCCAGCCCTATGAGAGAGTCTTTACAATTATCAATCTGCAAACTTTTTAAATCCCTGGTATATCGTGATGCTCCCAACTGCACCATGCATGAAGACAGCAACAAGTCAGTGGTCTGGTAATGTGTCCTATTCCAATAACTGAAACTGTAAGTATGGCTTAAAACCAGCAGCTCTAATGAAACAGTACAGGAAGCCTACAGAGTCAGTTTTAGGAAACCTGTCTGTCTGCCTCTGTTATTAGCTTTCCTACCAGAATTCAGGAGACGGGTAAAAGTCTGACCGTCTGCATGCGTATGTGTATGTTTACTGCATCTTGTTGCATCACATCAGAGTCTAACATTAATCAGATGTCTGGTTATCTCCAGGTTTAGTGGAAACAAGACATCTCAGATCTGTTGTATCTCATTCTTCTGTTTTGCTTGAAATCAAAAAGTTTAATTCATTTATTTTACATTTAGCATCTCTTGTGTGGAAAATGTCAAATCTGAATGTGAGATGGCTCAGAAAGACCAAGATGTTTAAAGCTGCAGCGTTTGTGGATATGTATAATAAGCACCTGAACTTTATTCTTGGCTCCATCAGAGTTTGAGGTATATGAGGGGGATTAAGAAGAGATTTCCAGCAGCTGCCTTCCTGTGAAGTCCTTAAAGTTCCACAGCACTTTTCTGATTGTCACAGTAGCTTTTCCGGTGGATTTTAAGCAGGATTCATTTCTCTTTGATCCGCTTCATGCTCTGCTGTACGTGTGGAACTGTTTGATTTGCTGCACAAAATGTCTCCCATTTTCTTTCTCCACATCTTATTTTCTAATTGACAACAACATTGGAAGCCGTTTTTTGGTCGGCCTTGTAGAAACCTTTCCAGGTTTCCTGTGCTCCTCAGGACCCATGCTCTGCACTGACATCCAAACAATAAGTCCAGTTTCACCCACAGAACTGTTTTACCCCTCCAGCTTTCTCTGGATTTTCCTTCTGATCATCTGACTGATTTCCATATCAGATTAAGAAATCGTAAAAAAAATACAAAAAGCAGTTTTGAATTGTTTAATCTAATGTACATCTTATCACTAATGTTGTATGCTTAGTGTTTATGTCAGTTTTTTTACAAGTATTATTGAAATACACCCCACTATATTGTGGCCTTTATTGAAGGTTAGGTTGCAGTATAATCTACTCATTATAAAGAAAGTTACACTAACAGAAAAACAATCATTTTACAAAAAGCCTATTAATCCTGATCAGATACATTAGCATTTAACCAGATACTCTTGTGAGACAAATTTAATTGTAAACTTGCTACAAAAATTAGTTGTCTACAGAGCAACTCAGTTATGGAACAAAAGAGCACAGAGGTCTTATTTGTCTTAAATCGTATTTTTTTTATATCTAGGTTTATGTGTGCAATTTGTAAAATGTGAGGTCCGACTAATCTTATGCATATTATAAGTTAATGTTGAAATTGTCTTATTTGTCATATGAATACTTGTATGTTTTTATCCATTGGACTTTAGGAAGATTAATGGGAATCCTAATCAATAAACAATATTTCTAATCTGGATGCTACAGGTTGACTTGTACTGATTAGCTGGGCAACTTTTCTACAGCTGAACAGTTCTGTGCTCCAGAGGCCACTGCACTTCTACCATACTGCTGCTGACAGAAGGGAAGGGAGAGACTGTGAAGAAGTCAGTTGTGTCGTTTTGAGTCATCAGGGCTCCTGAATAAAACATGCCTAAGACATCTCAGTTCTCCATCCGAGTTCCTGTTACTGCCCAATTTTCACATAACCATGGTCTTAGCTGAGGAATCTGCTGGGTCACCTTACCAAATCCCAAACAACTCTCATGATCTCAGTTAAAAAAATGTGGCTTTCACAAAGATTTCAGCACCTGCTATTAAATTGGTATTTGTGTAACTGCGACTAAAATAGCAAAATGTATTGTTATAATGGTTTTAAATGTTATCCCCCAAACCCCATGTGCAGATGATGCAGCTGACCAGCGTACTTGCCTTATTTGTGGAGACCGGGCCACAGGCCTGCACTATGGCATCATCTCCTGCGAAGGCTGCAAAGGCTTCTTCAAGCGCAGCATCTGCAACAAGCGGGTGTACCGCTGCAGCCGGGACAAGAACTGTGAAATGTCCCGCAAGCAGCGCAACCGCTGCCAGTACTGCCGTCTGCTCAAGTGTCTGCAAATGGGGATGAACCGCAAAGGTAAGGAAAATCATATCAGTTTAAGCAAATAGATTATCTATGGTCCATATCTGATGCAAATAAACGCAGAAGAATATTAAAATATTTTTACAGTTGGACTTGGCCGGATGGTTCATTCAAGTGCAGAGCCTTTAGTTTCTTTAGTTTCTCTTAGTTTATAAACTGTCAGTTTGGACTGCAACTAACAATTATTTTAGTAATTAACTATTCTGATGATTAATTGATTGATTGGATAAAAAATTGGCACATTCTGTAGATTTTTCATTTGACTGTTTATACGTATAAATATAATAAAATATGTAGATAGAAAAAAAATCATTCAATTCCTTTTTGAGATAAGAAAATAAACATTTCATTTTCCCTAAATGCAATAACATTTCTTTAGGGAATACTTGATTGATTTTTTTTTCTTCTTCTTCTTCTTTTATACCTTAAATGCAAAATTACATACTGTACAGTTTTGGCTTAATTGCTACTCTGACTGTGTTGTTCTCTCAGCAAATGCACTTTGAATCTGGACACTCTAGTTAATAATTACCTGACTAGTAAATTAGTTGACAATTATTTCAATAATTGATTCATCACAATGAATCTGATACATTCTTGCATGCCTAGTCAGTTTCTTCTATTACCAGCTGGTCTATATTATTCCTGCATATAACTGTTAACTGCTGTTTCTAAATCTGGATGAGAAATTGACTTGCATTAAGAAGAGTTTTTGCCCGCAGACTTTTTTTTTAATAATAGTGTTTAAAAATGAAGCTGGTGATGCTAGCTAGCACTTATGTTTGCTGAGGTAACAAGACTGTGTAGATAAACTTTCCTGCTGCCCTGTGACCCTGCCCATCAAACATTTACTGGAGAAGACGTTTTGGGTCATGTGATGACAGCTGATGTTGGGTATCTGGCTACAGAAAACTAATCTGGTTCCTTGTTGTAGAACCAGCTAGAAACTAGCTTTAACACCAGGTCGTATGTAGCACTGTGGGAACTTTTGGAAAAACCCAAAGCCTTGACAACATGATTCCTAAAGTATTAGTAGTAGCCAGTGAATCAGTTCTGCTGTGAAGCCAGGAAACTGTTTCTTCATTTTACTCAAAGCTTCTGAACTTAGAGACCAAACAAACCTCCCCCAAGCTTTTTGTCATATTTTTCCCTTCCTGAAGCAGAAATGTCTCAGATGTCTGCAGCTGAACCCAGGCCTGAGGCCTGTTATGGCCACATGCTGCCCCCTGGTGGGGTAAAAGTTTTACTAACTATATGGGCTTCTTGAATGATTAACCTTTTAGTTTATATTGGGTCTGCAGTGACTTTAACTAAATCCAAATTAGTTTTAAATTGTGTAGGGAATTTCTTCCTGGATTTCACTCAGAAATAAGAAAGAAGAAGAAATAAAAGTCATCCATGGCTTATGATGAAAACCAGAGCCATAGAGAAAATTCCTATTTTTGCTACTAGGTAGTGCTCTTATACATACTCATATAAACAAATGTGGGTTCATTTTTTTTTCTTTTTTTTGTGGCTCACAGCAATCAGGGAGGACGGCATGCCAGGAGGGAGGAACAAAAGCATCGGGCCTGTGCAGGTAAATCAACTCAAATGTTGCTTCATGTGACTTGCTCTGACCCCAGTCCAACACACAACCACTTCTACACACAATTCTATTCCGTTTTATCCCCAGAAATACCTGGCATAAAGAGACCGCCTTTAAAGACTGAGCCATTCATTAAATGACAGCTTGTAATGGTCTGAGTGGCGCAGTAGTGCAGCACTACTCTTTTCACCGTAGGGAGGCTCGTGGAGTTATGAGAACAAGCCCTGACCTTGTTATATCACCATCGTGCAGCTGCTGATTATTCCTATGCAGCTGCAGCTTCATTATGGAGGAGAGTGAGAGAAGCTGAGTGGACATGAGGATAAGTGGCGTTGAGGCGTTATTCACTAAAGTAATATGTTCGATTCTTTCCTGCTCAATTCACAGAGTCAAAACACAGCAGTGCCCACTTCCATAAAAAAAAATCCCTTTTATTTCTGCCCCCACCGGAAGGAGGACCTTTCACTCATTAATATGGAATAAATGGCCTGTTTTGGTTTATGTGCGGAATTGATGGAAGTGAAAGCGAATTGACCCCAGTCATCTCTACGATGCCCCATGTGCTGAGGCCTTTCATCGAGGCCTTTGTTTGTGTTTCTGGCTGCTCTGACCTGCAAGGATCCTATTATTTTAGGCCTGTGTGCCACTCAGTTGAACACTATCTCACACACACACACACACACACACACACACACGTTCTCTTTCTCCTCTAGTTCCCTGTTTCATTGTGCGATTGTGTCCTTGCTCCTCGCCGCTTGAGTAAAAAGCATCACGCTGCCAGTCACCGCTTTTCAATTAAGCTGAGAAAAACACCGATTTTCATTGAGCGTTCTGTAAGCGGGTTTATTTGTGTGTTTCAGATCACAGAAGAGGAGATAGAGCGAATCATGTCAGGGCAGGAGTTCAAGGAGGACGCCCCGGAGCACACCTGGGGCAACAACGGCGACAGCGACCACAGCTCCCCCAGCAACGGAGCCTCTGAGGGCAACCAGCCGTCACCCGCCTCCACTCTGTCGTCCAAGTGAGTGATCGGCTCACCCACTCTGCACAGCGGTGCCAGTACTTGCCCCCATCATTGAGATAATGAGCCGGCCCTGACAGTCTAACACTTTCTCACCTACAACTTAAAGAAGGCATTCAGCAGTCAGAGAATGCCTGAACATTCCCCCCATCGCTCAGGCTTGGTGACGATGGCAAACTCTGAGAACTTGCTGCACTATCTGCTTCTCCTGCCGCGTAGTTAAGCGCGTCGTCTGCACTCATCAAGGACAAATATTGTCTGGGCACCGGCATGACGGCATTTATTTTAGTCTCATTCTGTGTAAACATTCAGTTTATCTCAGCATTCTCATTGTCTGATTGCTATTCAGAGCAATAGTTGTTTTATCGGAGTGAATCTTAGCAGAAATGAACAGCAGTCCCAGAAAGCCTGGGCTTCAGTATGCACAAAATGTTCAATTTTTGTCTGGAAGGTTGTGAAACAATTCAACATTTTTCAATAAAAACAAGCTGTGCTTCCTTAGATCAAAAATAACACGTTCAGATGTTGACAGATCAGTCTGTAAGACCAGTGAAGGGTCCATTTTAGCTGTCCTTAAATATCAGTTGCAAGTCTCAAATGTTGTAGCAGAACTATTTAATCTCGTATAAGTCGTCTTGTGTCAGGTAACAGTTTTGAGTCCCGTGCAGACGTCTTCATTAAATTCTGTGACTTGAGGCTCCTAAAGGCTACTGCTAACTAGCTACTAGTAAGCCTTTGCTTGCTAGCTAGCTAGTTTTTTTTTTTTTTTTTTTTTTTTGCTCTTTCTTGGGTTTGGGCTAATTTTTCCCCAGTTTTCTGGGAA